TTGTGGATCACTATTTATGTAGTAGTTAGATGTTGGTCAACAAATCAGTTCAACTTGTGTTACGTTGGCAAAAGTGCACAGAGTCACCAGTATTCACCGACATATTACAGTTTAAAGTAGACTCATAGTACAGTGGACTAACATTTCAACACTAACGCGAAAGAATCAATAACTACTCGATTTATCCTAAAAATTACTATATGTTGATGATTTTCCTTTACCTCTTCTACTTTCTCTTTAGTTTTTATTATTATTATAAACCAGGTGTTTCTGCCGAGCATATTTTTGGAATGTATATATGTTCACTCTCCTTTCTTCACGGTTCAAGACTTCAACCGCGAAGTTTGTGTTGAAAGTGTATTTTGGTGTCATGTGATCCAAGAACATCCGAACAGTCCGAAATATTTCCCCACTAACACCATTCAGTTAGTTTCCTCTACTTGAATTGATTTTTCCAAACTTGAAAAACTGACAGGATAATTTAGATAATACTTGCTACATGAATAGCATTTTACAAGTGTTGTTCATGACAAAGAATTTCAAGAACGAGGTTTCAATGATGAACGAGAACGAAAATGTTTCCTACTTATTCACCAAATTCAAACACATGTTCATGCAGCTGCAGTTTCGTAAGAATGTGTCATCTTTCCCTCCAACCGACTGGAGTCTTTGAAATCTACTAGATAGTCGTTAGGACAACAAGAGGATTGCTCCGAATTCTTGGGGTTCTTGTTGAATACTCTTCGTGAGCAGAACAATAGCAGAATCAATACTTCTGACCACTCTGGATTGAATGATTCCGTACAGTCTATTTCGTCTTGTGTTTGTAAATATTTTGCTGTAGTAAATGTTCAAGAGGTAGCAAAAACGTATGTGAATTTCTGGAACTTCAACTAGCGTTTCCTAATATGACTAATAACCAGTCCGCGTAAAGCTCATTGTTAAATCATATCTGAAAATCTAAATCATCTGACTGAGGTACCAGTCAATCTAATTATAACACTGATGATATTCAAACATGATTCAACTTCTGACGGTAGCACCAAACTCTTAGGAAGGTTCAAAATAGATGAACACTTCAATCTAGCAGACCACTATTATAATCTTCATGCAGTCATTGTCCAATGTGGTTCTGGCGTCGAGTCTGGTCATTATTACGCCTTGGTCAAAGACGAAACGTACTGGTTTAAGTTTGACGATAGTCGTGTCACTGAGTGTTCTGGCGATGCAGTGAATTTAGTGGAGCCTCTGAAGACACTCTATATTTTGTTTTATGAGAGAGAGGATATTGGCAGATCAAGATTTTCAGATGATGTGGTGCTGCAGGTTTTTCCGGGTTTTCCTGCAGCTGAAAAAGCAAATGCGCCACTGAAATCAATGAAGTCGCCCCGGAGCGCCAATTAAGTTTTGTTCTTGTTTTATAATTTCATGACAAGATTGTAAAAATTGTAAATATGTTGAGAAACAGGAATGAATGTGTTTTTGGATCGAGTTTTTATGGGATTGTAATGCAAAATTATAACCATGGTCTTTTTTCGGTGGGTTTTCGCCTTTGAAAAATTATGAAATCTATTCGGGTTATGAGATTAAAATAACTCATTTTGAATAATAATGTTCTGAATATAGTTTATCTGGGTATAATAAAGTGGTGGATTTCTTCAATTACATCACCTGGTAATAAAGGGGGTGCAGTTGTAAAATTTTCTTTATATGCTCAGTCATGCTTCTCTCTATCTGAACATTACTCGTCCTTTCCTGTTCACCATGCAGGTACTCTTAACGAAAACACCTCACATGACGGATTCAGTCATTAGAATTGACTTGAATAATTTATTACCACTATTAATATTGTTGAAAGTATCAAGTCATATTTGCCAGCACGATTAATCATGAATATCCTAGGTGGTAATTAGTGAAGAGTGCCACATGCTGTTATTGTTTTTTCATCGGGAATTGAGAATGCTTGTTTTCATCAACGGGCCTGCTGAGTAGTATTTTTTTCTTGCTCTTCACACTTTTAACGATTTTATTGACTTCCACAAACTTTTCGAAGAAAGAGATACTCTGGCAGCTAATAGTAAAACAATAATTACAGAGATTTCTTAGAATTTGGAATATCATGTTGAAATTACAGAATATCTAAACAATTTCCATTAAAGATATTATGGAATCATTTGATTGAAGAAGGCACACATATTCAAACATTCTCAAAAGACAAGACCAACTGATACATAACGCCAAAATAAGATCTGATGTCACAGAACCGTTCTCATGTTCATTCTTTTATTTGGTGAAGACCACGTTAGAAACGTCATAATCATCCCCTGGAAAAAACCAATAATTTTGCTAAGATTTTCGATCAAAGACAGTCCAACTTTGGAAAATTTTGACTATCAAGCAAATAAACTTCCTTAATAACGTCTCAAGAAAGACTAATATCAGTCTAATGTTAGCCCAAAAATAGTCAGACCCATCCATCTCAGCCTCAATAACAATAAAGCAGAGAAGCTAATAAATCGTTCTCCAGAACTAACTAGGGTTTTTCTACGCTCATATGCTCCAGACTTCTGCAAGTCGCTCTTCCTCACAAGATTTTGCTTTTGCTTCCGAACTGTCTGAGGTCTTCAGTTATTCAATCTCTCTTACTGGCTTCTTATACGCTTATTTGGGTTCACTGCAAATTGTTGTTCAACTATTTTACAGGCTTCTTTTATGCTCCAAAACTAATTGACGTGTTCTACAAATTGTTTTTTCTCACAGGCTCTTTTTGAGCTCCAGAAATGACCAAGGTTTCTGTAAATTATTCAACCTTCCTTAAAGACTTCCTATATGCTTCAAAATTGACTGAAGTCTTCCTCAAAGTATTCGACCTTCATTTCGAGCTCCTTTTATGCTACAGAACCGATTTAGCAAGTCGTTCAACCTTTTTTGCAGGCTTTCTTCATGCTCCAACACTGAATAATTTCTTCTGCAAGTTGTTCTTTCTCACAGGCTTCCTTTCGTTCTTTAGAAGGGACTAAGGTCTTTTTTCTGCAAGTAATTCAACTCTCTTACAGGCTTCTCATACTAAGCTCAGCAGCAAGTCATCAGCAACCTTTCTTGAATACTTCTTTCCTGCTCCAGAACTGACTAAGGACTACTGCAAATGGTTCAACCTTTCACAGGATTCTTTTTTGCTCCAAAACTGATTGATGTGTTATACAAATTGTATTTTCTTCCTGGCTTCTTTCATGCTCCAGAAATGAGTAAGGTCTTCTGTTAGTTATTCCACCTTACTTACATACTCCAAAACGAACTGTAGTTTCAAGTTATTCCACCTTTTTTTTTGGCCTCAGAACTGACTTGGCAAGTAGGTTACCCTTTTTAAAAGGCTTCTTTCATGCTCCAAAACAGATCAATGTCTTCTGCAAGTCATTCAACCTTTTTTAAAGGCTTCTTTTATGCTCCAGAACTGACTTAGGAATACTGCAAATTGTTCTACATTTTTTACAGTCTTTTTTCATGCTCCAAAACTGATTAATGCCTTCTGCAACTTGTTCATTCTTACAGAATTCTTTTATCAGAAGTGATCAGAAGAACTAAGGTTTCCTGCAACTGCAGCTTCGTTTGTGCTCCAAAAGATAGTAAAGTCTTTGGCAAGTTGATGAAACTTTTTTTTGGTCTTCTAAGATGATCCAGAACTGACTAAGATGTACAGCAAGTAGCTCAACCTTTCTTGAAGGCTTCTTTTATGCTCATTATAAAACTTTTGCATTTTCCATCGTCCATTATGAATCGAATATTTTTGTATGAATCCCATATTCAAAGGGGCCTTTGTTTGGATTTTTCACATTTGCACGTTTTTTGGATATAATAGAAACATGTTATTCCATGAAACAAAAGCGTTATCCCTGATATTTTAGGACGGAGTTCATGAATAAATGAAAGTTATATATATATGTTTTTCGCACGAATCAACCCGAAAATTGTTTTTTGGAACGACATAATAGATTGAATAGTGTACAATATCTATATCAATTGTTTATCAAAATACATGAATTATCTTCAGAAAAATACAAAATATGTTCCAGATTGTTTCGTTCAATATATGGCTTGGTACAACAGTACATTATATTCAAACGAAATCACTCTCCTCTCTTTCCAATGAAATGCTCAAATCAATCATTCGGGTTCAAGAATTTTAGGTAAGGTGTGAAATTTTGGGTTCTTTGCTGTTTATGTGCCGTCCTGGAAGTCTTTATAATAATTGTCTCTGAGTAGTTAGTTGTCAATGTTCGTTGAACACCATCGAGAGGTAAACACTATTGATGAACACTACGGATGAGAAAATTATACAAACAGCTTCCAAAGACACATAGTTATAATAGAAAATCCAAGAAACAGTGGCCATAACAACCTTCTATCATATATTAAAGGAACCACATGCCAAATCAGCAGAATTCTCCGCCAACACAACATAGCAACATCATTCGAACCAGAACGTACAATAAGGTCCATGTTCCGTAATGCAAAGGATCAGATACCACTGGAGTCTCAAGGAGTTTACGAAGTACCATGTCAAGACTGGCAAGACTTACATCGGCCAGACCAACAGGCTAATCAACATACGCAAGAATAAACACAAATTATCAGACAAGGGAAAAGTCATCTCGTTTCTTCTCTTCCAACACGTATTGGCGATAGGACACAACACCAACGTCGAGAACACAATAACACTAGCAAGTAATGGATACTTCTATTCAAACAATCAGAGAAGCTATCGAAGTTGAAAAACGACCTAGTAGTATGAACAAGAGGAATGACGTGCAAAGATAACCAACAACGTGGAGATTTTCTCCCAGTGTGGAAGCAAGACGTATTGCCGACAAAATATACGACAGAAACAACGGACCATACGCTGACCCTTGAGGAACTCCAACATTCTGCTGGGAATGAGATCTCCTTTGACGTAGTAATGGTTCATATATTCAAGTTATCCAAAATTAAAAACTTATACTGACCTGCCCTCAGAGCATCCATAGGTACGGACGGATAGGGTATTGAATAGGGATAGCCCTCTTTCCTGAGGGTTTTCGGCTTACGTCGCGGACGGTATTTGTAATCTGGATGTTCTTTCATATGCATCGCACGTAATCGTTTAGCTTCGTCGATGAAAGGCCTTTTCTCGTCTTCTGTCAGGAGTTTCCATTCCGCTCCTGAAAATAAGAAAGAGGGTGAATGAACGAATTATTCATTGACCAAGGGATTATAGAGATGAAAGATCTTGACTGTGAATTAATATTCCTAAAGTGTGAACGTTTCTTTCTGATACTTTATTTTTTAAATAACTTTCAAACATCAACCAATTACATAACATCAAACAATAAACTAAACACACAGAGATTCCAACATCTACCCCTTCATGGCTCACTTCATAATTTGAAACAATTTTCTATTTATATCGTGTAAAAAAAATATGTTTGAAATCTGTTGTGTTGGTACACAACATGATCTCTTTCCCAGACAAAATTGGCGCCAATTGACTTGGTCATAAGATACAATAATGGAAGACTGTACCAAAGGAATCTAATTACAGCGAGTAAATGAAGATATGCAAGAGAAGATGAATCAAATCCTACTGACTGCGCCATGTCATTTTCGTTGCAAACGTTTCTTCACTTTACTTCATAGTTGACTTTCAAACATCGCCCAATCACGTTACATAAAAATATATAATACCCAGTGATCCCAACAGTATCCAGGATATTAATTTCAAGACTGTTTACAAAAGTGAAAAATATATTTAGTGTATCTGTATACTATGGAGATGTTGCTTCATATCGTTTTAGTGGCTGAAAAGTGACATCTGTCAAATTCAACCTACAGCGAAGTTAGAATTATCAAAGAGACAGTATGTTTTTTGACAACATGATCGATTGTGCATTTGTAAAGTCCAGCAGCGATGAGGAATAAAAGTGAAGCAATTGATTTGAATGTATAAGAATGTAATAGATAAAGTTTTGAACGCCGTATTCCTCATTAGGCGTATATGCTTTAATTGAAATGAATGTGATGTATTTATATCAACATGATCCGCGCAAACAAAAACAATTTCATTTCTTCCTTTGCATAGCTATTTCACAGCGACGAGGAATAAAAGTGAAGCAATTGATTTGAATGTATAAGAATGTAATATATAAAGTTTTGACCGCCGTATTCCTCATTAGGCGTATTATCACTTTGGAATGAATATGATGTATTTATATTAACATGATCCGCGCAAACAAAAACAATTTCATTTCTTCCTTTGCATAGCTATTTCACAGCTTTTACTTTTTATGATTACAGTTACAATAATTTGTTTGGTGAATTTCGTGTTGAATAAGTATACCATGTAATTTTTAATGGGTTTTTCATCCTTCATACTTGTACGACATAATCGGATGGATGAATACAAGCAACCACAAAAATAATTTAATTTTCACACCCCTTGATAAGAAACGTCAGTAACTAATTGCGATTTTTTGCCAGCTCCACAATTCACATATCTGGTGACGTCACGTCTCAACCCGCTGAACAGCTTCTGGATTGTGTTCCAAAAAATCCCCCAAAATTAAGTGCCGATTTCATTTTTTAAATTGAAAAATGACCCTATTGTCAAGCTACGATTGTAGTTAATTATTTTTAGATATCATAACAGTGTTTGAGAGGAAGTGTTTTTGAAATATTCCTAATGTGTGGGAATCCACACATGTGGATATATTATATCCTGTGAAATATATTATAATGTCATTTGAGTCATTAGCCTTTGGAAAACTTTAAAGCGTCTGGTAGAAATTACCAATGCCGAAATAATAATAATAATATTTTTTAAAACATTCGTGAAAATCAGCACTGGGACTTTAATAAATGTAAGACTATTTTTACCTACCATTAGCACCTGGTACCTGTGACCATCGGCCTAAGCTAGCAGGCATGCATACACCCATAGTATGTACTAATACTACGTTATTCTATACATTTTATTTCTGGGATCCTGGGCCCTGGAATCTTGCTTTTATAACTCGTCTTATTCTGTGACCTCCACTGTCTCTAGTAACTTGACGAATGACATTGTAACCATAGCAGAAGAATGTAGAATTCACTTATTTGCCGACGATACCCTACTGTACTTCAGTAGTGAAGATGTACATGAGTGTGTTGATACTATAAACGCTAGTCTTGAAAGGGTGTAAGTAATAATCATTTGTGGTTTATAAGTGTTTTATAAGATTTAATTTTTTAGGTGATACTGCCGCCAAAGACAGTGCTGTTTCGATCTACCTCGATCAGTGGTACTAGTCCTGATAATGAATGCAACGACTGAACTCTNATCCATCCTCAGACATATACGAGTATCTGTAGCACTTGAATTTAGAAGTAGAAGTCTGGATAAATAACGGGTGGCTGAGTCTCTTGAAATGATGATCGTTTTTGTCGGAACATTTTTCTTGAGGATCTTGGGTAGCCCATACAGGTGAGGGGCTTACTGTGGTGTCAGCGATAACCTCCCCTTTTCCCAAGAGTTGATGTTTCTTCAAAGTCTGGCACACACACCTTCTTTTCTATCGATGCATTGGAATCTCCAAGCTTCGTGCATTGCCTCTTTTGAAGAACGTCTCCAATTGAAGATGTACACCTACTCTCCTGAAATTAAGGAACACTGAGAGAATCACTAAGGGATTTGTAACTAGACCTCAATTCCAGTCGGCTTTATCTATTCACTTCAATATTTCCCTCTCATCAAACCCCTCCCAAGAAAATTCTGAGCCACCCTTACTTTCGAAACAATCGAACAACGAATCCGCGAAAGCGTCGCGAATTCCTTCATTTCCGATAAAATACGAAACAACTGAATGCCCTCATTATTCCCGATCCCGTTCACCTGTTTCTCCATTGGCAGAACAATGCAGCGGCCGATTGGTCCCGTCCAATAGAGACGCTGTATTACATTACAGTGCTTTTTGTGCTGTGTTTTGTCATTTTGTGTCTAGAACTTTGTGAAGCGCTACTATAGCGCCCTTTGTGCACGTCTCCTAGAGCGAGATAAGAATTAATTACAAGCCATGATGGTCTTTTGTTTGCTTTCTCATTTTCGCTCAAAAGATAATTTAATGCTCTTTCCTCCGACGGAGGAGTCTCGTTTATTTCGACAGAGTATTGTTTCTTGCGAAGGGGTATGAGTGACGAGTTGATTTTTCACAACTCTCTGTGAATGGAACTGAAATTTAGGGTTTTACGATCAAATGTAATATTCCAAGTTCATTAATTTTTTCGCAAATTTCAGGAAAAAGTCATTGTATTGTTGTGATGCTAATCAAAGAAACAATTTAGGCAAGACGATGGCAATGCGCACGCTCATCAATCAAAGTATATGCTTATCTCAGCTTCACTGTTCCTACCCTTGGTCTGAGCTATTTCGAAGGATATGTAGTAATTCTATAGATTGACGAAAATGTCATTTGGAGAGAAATTATTTTGGTTGGGCAAAAATTGAGGGAGAATGTATTTCTGCTAGAATTTTTTGGTAAATTTTCATATCAAGAGGTTGGTTATACTGTGAAGCAGTGTCCATCCAGAGTTCTTCCATTCATCACAAACTTTGATGCAGTTTCATGAGAAGATCATCCCCATGAAATGTTAATGAACTCGTTGTATAACGCATTGTTAAAGAAAAGACTAACGACAAGACTTCCGTTGTTATGATTATTTATTACATACACTCGCAACGATGACCAGAAAATTAATAATAATATTCATGGATTCCTATAGGACATCCTAATATACATACATATAGAGGAAAAAAATAATAAAAACCATTTTTCACTGATTCCAGAATGGTTTTAACATGAGGATATACATAATAAGTAATCTTATGTTGAGATTGTTGATGAGTGATAGCTTATAACCAGTTGATAAGATCATATATTTTGTTTTGGAGGTGTTGAGTTTTAGTTTATTGAGATTCATGTACTTGAAAACATTTCTTAGTTCATTATTCATTTGATCAGCTACTGTTTCTATATCACCTGAAATTGATAACAAAGTATCGTCTGCAAAAAGGTTCATGAAATCACAACCATGTATGGTATCTATATCATTCAGGTAGATTAAAAATATTATAGGTCCCAAAACACTGCCCTGAGGTACCCCGAAAATGACATCGCGAGATAATGACACTGAATCCTTTATTTTGGTTACCTGTTTGCGTTGTGATAAATAATCAGTCAGCCATAACAAAACAGTTTCCCTGATACCAATACTTTGCCAATACGGCTATAATATAACGTCCCTTATCTATTGATTCTTTCTATTTTGATATTGTGACTTGTAATGCAGACTCACATGAATGGTGTTTTCTGAAACCTGACTGATATATTTTAGTAAAATATCATTATTTTCTAGATATTCAATGAGTTGATTATAAACTGCGAGTTCTAATATTTTTTCAATACAAGGCAAAGTGTTGATTGGTCTAAATTCCCAGGATTTATTTGTGTTAGGGACTTTCTGAATTGGCACAAGGACACTGCTCTTGAGTTCCTTCGGGAATCTGCCAGTGCTCAAAGATTGTAATTATAAAATGCAACAATGCATATCTGAGAGATATCCAGATATGGCTTGATTACAACCTTCTTAATCTAAATGTGAAAAAACCAAATGCATCATAATTACCCTTTTTTCATAACAAAACACAAACACTACAGAAACATCCTTACGGTGCTCTTAGAGCGGTGCCTGTGCGAAAGTAGTGATTCACATTGGATTTGAATCGCTTGAGATTAAATCCATTTGAAAAAACGTTCTCAGAAAGTTCATTCCACATAAACGTCGTTCTCCAAATGGAAGAGTTCTTAAACAGTGAAATTCGAGGTGTACTTTGTTGGACCTCAAAACGATGAACAGCCACAGCCCGTCGCGTAATTCTGATATGTACCGCTCTTGGTGGAATCAAATGTGCCGTGGAAGTATCTATAAAAGAGGGACAATTCTCCAACCTTTCTTCGATAGACTGAGACCTATCAAGGTTGCAATTGATGTGAGCGTCTCCAATCAGGCAGATGGCTCTTTTCTGGATGGAATCCAACAGCTTCAGGGTATATTTGGGGGTGGAGCTCCATACATGAGAACAGTACTCCAAAGAAGGTTTGATCTGAGCTTTAAACAGCATCAAAAG